CAAAGCATCAAAGCATTATTTTGTGATACTAGAAAATATATTTCATATTTTATTGCTTCAAAACAAAGTAATTAAGAAAACAAGTAGAAAGATAGTCATGTCTGCCACCATGCAAAAGCCTGAGCAATGTAAACAACACTACATAATTAATAAATATTATATCAAAATTAAAAAAGCAAATAATTGTGATCTTTAACAAAGTGATCAATTTGTGCTCAAAATCAGATGGATTTCTTTGTGACCATACCACTTTAAGTATTCTTTACAATTCACTACAATCATGCTGTGTGATAAACAGATGATCATTTGTGCACTTTAAATGCAACGTACCTCCAAATTAAGTAATACACTATATGGACTAAAATGTCTTTGCTTATTCAAGGTCCATACAACTTTTATTACCTTAATTTAGATATATTTTTGGTCACAGCTTTTAAAATACCATGATGCTCAACAGACTAATAAGTACAATTCTTAATCAAAAGTATATATCTTTACAAGATATACTTTTGAAACATTTAAAGGACATTTACTAATCTTTTGTTTTGTTTTCATTATTATTATTCACATCAAATGCCATGATTCTTCAATTTGCAATAAAATTACTGTTTAAAGTCACATTTAGATAATACTTTTTTTTTTAAACACTGCCCATATTTAAAAAAGACAGGTATAAATTTAAATAAAAAGCTCCGCTGGGGCACAGCTTGATACGACCGCAGAGGTCGAACCCTGAACAGTTGGGGCAAGTATGGACACAACATTCAAGCTTGATACAGCACTGAATTTGGATTGTAATTAAATATTTGACACAGCATAGGTTTCTGACACAGAATGAATGTGGTCTAAGAACTTAAAAAATTTTAATTTACCTATTCAAACCATATTATTATTATTTGCTTTTATATATAAATCAGAAATAACCAATTTAAAATGGAAAATTTTAAAGAAAAAAAATGAAAAAAAAATCCCCCCACCCAATTTTTTGAACCCCCTTATGATTCATCACCCCCAAACTCAATCCCAGCCTTCCCTTTGTGGTATGGTACCTTTCAGTACAATTTCAGAGAGATCCATACACTTGAACACAAGTTATTGTCTGGAAACTAGAAAAATGCTTGTTTTTTGGCCCCTTTTTGGCCCCAGATTCCTAAACGTTTAGGGCAATTACCCCCAAACTCAAACCCAACTTTCCCTTTGTGATATGGAACCTTGTAGTACAATTTCATAAAGATCCATACACTTACACACAAGTTATTGTCCTGAAACTAGAAAAATGCTTGTTTTTTTGCCCCTTTATGGCCCCTAATTCCTAAATTTTGAGGCAATTACCCCCAAAATCAATCCCAGCCTTCCCTTTGTGGTATGGTACCACGCAGTACAATTTCAGAGAGATCCATATACTTGAACACAAGTTATTGTCATGAAACTAGAAAAATGCTTGTTTTTGCCCCTTTTTGGTCCCTAATTCCTAAAATTTGGAGGCAATTACCCCCAAAATCAATCCCAGCATTCCCTTTGTGATATGGAACCTTGTGGTACAATGTCAGAGAGATCCATGCCCCTTTTTGGTCCCTAATTCCTCAAATTTGGAGGCAATTACCCCCAAAATCATTCCCAGCATTCCCTTTGTGATATGGAACCTTGTGGTACAATGTCAGAGAGATCCATACACTAACACACAAGTTATGTCTGGAAGTTACAAAAATGCTTATTTTTGGCCCCTAATTCCTAAAATTTGGAGGCAATTACCCCCAAATTCAATCCAGCATACCCTTTGTGATATGGAACCTTGTGGTACAATGTCAGAGAGATCCATACACTAACACACAAGTTATGTCTGGAAGTTACAAAAATGCTTATTTTTGGCCCCTTTTTGGCCCCTAATTCCTTAACTGTTGGTACCATAACCCCCAAAATCAATCCCCACCTTCCTTTTGTGGTATTGAACCTTATGGTAAAATTTCATAGAGATCCATTCACTTAAACTAAAGTTAGAGTGCGAAAACCAATGTGTCTAAGGACGACGACGACGACGCCGCCAACGTCATACCAATATACGACCGCAAAATTTTTTTGTGGTGGTATTAAAAAGAAGAATCTTATTAAAAAATTTCATAAATGAAAAATCAATATTTTGAAATAAAGTGGATTCATTATTATTCATGGCATACCAATTTTCCTCACTCCACGAAAAAGTGGTAACCATGAAAATAAATGAATCCACAATAAGTACCTCTTACTTAATGTGAATTAGATTGACTACATTTTGAGATCATTATGATTTTTCTACAAACAAAAAAAAACTATCTTTTTTCAAGATGTTGAAAGAGGATTGAAAAAGAGTAAAATAACAAAAATACTGAACTCCAAGGAAAATTCAAAACCGAAAGTCCCTAATCAAATGGCAAATTAAATGGAAAATAGTTTCAGAAAACACCATTACCAAGTTAAATAGTTAAACAGTGTTGAGACTTTCAAGCAAAAGATAACAGTATCTGCAGTAAATATAAACCAGGACAAAATTAACTGCAGTAAATGTAAACCAGGATAAAAATCACTCTATGTTATTAACAACTCTATGTGATTAAATGTTTAAATCGCAGATAAATAAAAAAAGAGTATACATATGTATTACAATCACACTTTTATTCAAATGTTTACTAATTGCGAATACTTGATCAGTTTTTTTCTGGTAATTAACAATAATCAACTGATAAAAGTAATAATAAGTGATTTGGCCTTTCTGATGTCATTATTATATTTCTATTGGCTATTGACCAATATCATCTTTGAAGAAAAAGAGTACATCTTAAAATATAATTACAATAACCACTCACAATAATAGTAATTGGTCCCTCTGATTCAGTATTCCTATAAATTGGTTAATGATTACATTAACTATTGTGTATTATCCAAAACATTGACTGAAATATGAAAGGAGGAAGATAAGAGCCATTTTTTTGCCCCTAAATTTGCAAAAATAGTAAACATCATTCAATCCTTTTAAAACTATTAAAGTTAATGTTATTGAAATATGAATAGAGTGCATACATTAGTGCATGTTTGTCATTTGTGATCCCTCTTTAACTCATAAACATGTCATAATAGAAATGAGCTAATTCATAAAAATATTACAAAGTTTTTTTGGACAATTTGAGCAAATTACCTTTAAAGATATTTATTTAAATCTGATCGTCACATATGAGCTGTTGTTTTATAGAACTATTTATGACAAACTTTTTGAAATGGCCTATTCTTAACAGTGTTTCATAGTGGTTTTTTTAAGTACTACAATATAGCTTTGAAGGCCTACAATACATGTGAAAGACAAAATTCAAAATTATAAATAGTGAAAATACAAATGCATTGTGAACATCTGAAGGATGTTATTTGATAGTTCAGATGTCAAAATAATTTAACTTGAAGAAGTCCAATTTGTACAAATACACTTCACTTTCCACAAACTGATCAACTCGAGGTTAAATTGCAATGTAAAATATTCACTAGTTGAGAAAATTAATTAGTCATGTATTCCATAGCTACAAAAGTAATGTCTATAAAGTTTATTGTCAGAATCAGTTATTTCATATAAATTTTTCTTTACATTGCTTTTTTTCAATTTGTGAGCAAACCATAGATTTAAGGTAGATGGGATGTCTACATTACAATCCATAGAATTTTTTAATAATTTGCCAAAATGTAGTTTATTTCATGCTTTTTTAAAAAAATTAATAAAAAGAATGGGTCACGGGCTTATTTTCACGTGACAGGTTGTGCAAAATTGACAGATTTTTGTATAGATTATGCATGCAAAACCCAATTTTCTGCCATAAAACAAAAACTACACCATAGAATTTTGAGATAAAATATGAGAAGATAGCTCTAATATTATGCTTTCAGATAAGAAAAAGAAAAAATGGGGTCACAGGACCCGTTTTCTTGCTACATAATAAAATAGGTAAATTCCTAACATATTCTATTGTAAAAGTAACTTTATCTGAATTATCTGCCCTTACATTTGAGTTGCCTCCCCTTATGTGACAAAGTTGGAAAAAATTGAATCAAACAAAAGTATTCTGTTTTTTGTAAAATAAAACATAAATATGATAAAACATGTCATTTTCTATATTGAAATGAAAATTTTTACACATGAACTACTGACTACTCTCAAAATTTGCACATTTTATTAAAGATCTAGACCTATTGTTTTCTGGTATTTCAAAATCCAAGATGGAGGAAGACACCCTATCTTCCTTAACCTTAAAATAAATTTAATTATTATATCTAAAAGCAAAGATGCCATCTATATTTTAAAGTATTCAATTATCAAATATTTAAGAATGCTTTCTTCATAACAGACATAAAAAAAATCAACAGTGTGCATGGCTGCATGCCCTACTTTTAAAATATAAAAATAGATCATATCATTTAAGAAAAAAATGTGCAGCAGTTTTGCATATTTATATGTATCTAATATCATATGATTCTATATACAATACTAACCAAGATGTACAGACAATTTTAATTTAGAAATAAAAAAAATATAATACACCATGATATTTACATGCAAAAATACATATATATTTTTATGCTATAGAGACACTCATTTTTTTAGTCCATCAAAATATTCAAATCTGCTAAAAAATTAAGTTGGCATCTCATCTGGTTTTTTATATTGCCTGATATTCTTTTCAATTAGTGTTTTCTTTTGTAAAGACTAGAAACATTTGAAATCCCTGAAATAACAATTGATATATTAATGCCTACACATATACATTTGTAGTTATAAGCTTGTATCCCTAATATGACATGTATAGATTATACGTCTTTCTCTTTTTCAGATATCAAAATAGTTCTCAGGAAATTTGATTATATGTCATTATCTATGCTTAAAAAACATATTTTCATGAAGCTTTTTGGTTATATAATCCTGACAAATGTCATTCATTTAAAAGATATGGACAAATATATGTAAATGGCAAAAAAAATTGTATATATAAGAACAAGAGTGCACACGCTGAAATGTCTCGCCTTCTTTACTAATCATTGATATTATGTTGATAGTCCTAAATATAAAGCTTTATTACAACTGTCACATAAACTTAACATTAACCAAGTAAACTAAACATTGACCAATGAACCATGAAAATGAGGTCAAGGTCAGATGAACCATGCTAGGCAGGCAGCTAACAATTCTTCCATACAACAAATATAGTTGACCTATTGCTTATAGTTTAAGAAAAACAGACGAAAACACAAAAACTTAACACTGAGCAATGAACCTTGAAAATGAGGTCAAGGTCAAATAAAACCTGCGTGACTGACATATAGATCATAAAATATTTCCATACACCAAATATAGTTGAACTATTGCATATAGTATTAGAAAAAAAGACCAAAACTCAAAAACTTAACTTTTACCACTGAACCATGAAAATGAGGTCAAGGTAAGATGACACCTGCCAGTTAGACATGTACACCTTACAATCATTCCATACACCAAATATAGCTGACCTATTGCATGCAGTATTAGAAAAAAAGACCAAAACTCAAAAACTTAACTTTGACCACTGAACCATGAAAATGAGGTCAAGGTCAGATGACACCTGCCAGCTAGACATGTACACCTTACAATCATTCCATACACCAAATATAGTAGACCTATTGCATACAGTATAAGAAAAACAGACCAAAACACAAAAACTTAACTATAACCACTGAACCATGAAAATGAGGTCAAGGTCAGATGACACCTGCCAGTTGGACATGTACACCTTACAGTCCTTCCATACACCGAATATACTAGACCTATTGCTTATAGTATCTGAGATATGGACTTGACCACGAAAACTTAACCTTGTTCACTGATCCATGAAATGAGGTCGAGGTCAAGTGAAAACTGTCTGACGGGCATGAGGACCTTGCAAGGTACGCACATACCAAATATAGTTATCCTATTACTTATAATAAGAGAGAATTTAACATTACAAAAAATCTGAACTTTTTTTTCAAGTAGTCACTGAACCATGAAAATGAGGTCAAGGACATTGGACATGTGATTGACGGAAACTTCGTAACATGAGGCATCCATATACAAAGTATGAAGCATCCAGGTCTTCCATCTTCTAAAATATAAAGCTTTTAAGAAGTTAGCTAACGCCGCCGCCGCCGCCGTAGCCGCCGCCGCCGCCGCCGCCGGATCGCTATCCCTATGTCGAGCTTTCTGCGACAAAAGTCGCAGGCTCGACAAAAATTAGAGATCATGTGTTTTCTACACACATTTATATATAAGAACACTATCTTGGATATGTCAGATGAGTTTTAAAGAAGAATTAATTCAATACAATTTAAATTTATTAGTTGAAAATGTTGAATTCTAATATTAACTACTAATTGTCAACTCCATGCGAATCATTTTAGCTAATAACATATAACATCATAATCTAGCTGTAGCTGGTCAACAATTTGCTTGATGAAGTGAATACACATAACCAATAATAAAAAAATTACCTTCTTTAACCAAAAAGCCCTTTATCGTACCCATCTAATTTCTCAGACCTATACCATACCAAATTAATGATCTTATCATTTGTTTTATAAATTGTTTATACAGAGTTCGAGTAATTTCTTTCAGTAATTTTTTTTCAAAAAGTCATTCATGTTGAATTTAAGTTTTATCCCCTAAAACAGCTAGTGACAATTTTTGCAGTTCTATTAAAAAAAAGAAAACTAGTAAAACCATCCTCTGAATGCTTAAGGAGTTTTTGTTATTTTCCTGCTTTTTAAAATTAAGATATTCAAATATTTATATAGTCAATATAAATTTAGCTGTCAGAAAACAATTGGAACATGTTCATCAAAAGAAAATATACACTCTGGAAAAACTTGCTTTGTTATTTCCCTTTTTGATGTTAAGCTTACAAATATTTTATCAAATATTACTCTTTTTAAACTTTCAACTCAAACCCTCAAAGAACTGAAATAAACTTATAAAAGTTAAGTTAAATGTTTTAAAAATTTCAAATATGCTGTCACAACTATATTTCCTGTTTTTTTCTTCTATAAAATGACTGAAATATAATTTCATTAATTGAATAATAATAACAAACTGGAAAACACTCCACCAGTATGTCTATACTTAATTTCAGATCACTGGTTTCAATTTTTTTTTCATATATTGACTATTAATTTTGTTTTCAGTAATTTGTAAACACAAAAATATAAAAACTTTTCAAAGAAATTCCAAAACAGTTGTTTAATTTGACCAAACTAAAAATGCTAAATTGCAACACAAATACTGTCAGATGATTATTTGTCTTATATAAGCAGCAGCATAAATAATGGACTTTATTGCTATAAAAATGTTAAGTCCTAAATACTGTTGACGAACAACTGTTATAAATTTCAATACCTAAACTATTTTCAAGGTAATTTTTACATAATATTTAAATAATCTTAGAATAAATTTTATTGTATCAAATACCAGATATTTGTGACAAAATATATGCTTACTTTATTTGTGTCTTTCTTTTTGTGAAAAGGTTTATTGAAGTATTGAAGAGAATATATTAAATTCTCTTATGGTAATCTATTTCTTGCACAAAGATATATTTCTCATATCGCACTGCACAGAGAGTGATACGAAAAATGCGTAAATTTGATTGGCTTAACCAGCATCATGAAACTATATTGCAACATTTCCATTAGCTATTCGTTAGGTCATTGATGATTTTTAAAGGTCAAAACGGTGTACATTTCCTCCATGACAACGGAGATATAAAATTTCTTCGATAATATACAAAACACTCACAATTTTCACCTGAAAATATTCTTTTTGTCAAAATTTATATCATTCTGAAGTGTTAAAAAGTTTTATATGTCTAATTTAAAGTTTGATGCTAGAACAGGACATATGATGTCATACTGATTTATGCAAGACTAGATCAAAAAGTTGCAGAATTTTCCTTTTAACACAAAGAGAATGCTTACCATAAGAGAAATAGGTTTAGCAACTCAAGAGAATTAGATATTGCTTGATATTATTTCTCTGTTTTTAATTCAAATATTAATAACAAACTAGCCTATATTATATTGAGATCATATAACTCAAGTTGATATCAAGCGATATCCAATTCTCTCTTGTTATGAAACCTATAATTTCAATTTTTGCAGAAAGCTTTCATATATAAATTCTCCCTTTGTGAGATTAACATTTAATGTGTAAAATGAATAGGTAAATAAGGCATCAATTCACATTTGACCCATGAATTTTATATCTATGTATAGCAATAATATTCAGATCTATAAATGTTTGGATAGAAATTTTAAGTCAACAGTATTTCAAGACTATATGTTAAGATAGTTTTGAAATTGAAAACACCCTTTTTTATCTTTTGCCTATTTATCAAGAAAATAACTGATATGCTAGAAATTGACAAATACAGATCATAGCCTATGGCTAATAGAGATACTAACCTATCACAAAATGTTATATCTTCCATAGCAAAAAGCATTCAAATATAAGAATAATACAAAATAACATATCCATGAATACTTCTTTTTAATAAAAAGTAAATGCTAATTTTCAATCATAATAAATTATATTTCAGAATTATGGATTGGTAAAATGGGTAACTTGTACAATAGATAACATATCTAAGTTGATATACTGTATTAGAACTTCATGAGAAAACTAGAACAGTAAAAGTGATGCCACCTAAATTCAAACTTGATCTGTATTTTGTGGTAATAAGCATTGTGTATAAGTTTCAAAACATTTGGTTGAGGCAAACTAGTTACAGAATGGAAACGAAAAATTCAGCAATTTTTCCATTCATAAAGGGGCATAACTCTAGAACGGTTACAGTGACGCCACCAAAATTCAAACTTGATCTGTGTTTTGTGGTAATACGCATTGTGTATAAGTTTCATAGCATTTGGTTGAGGCAAACTAAAGTTAGAGAATGGAAACCAACTTTGGGATGTACGGACGGACGAGGGTAAAACTTAATGCCCCCTCCGCTACGGCGGGGGCATAAAAATGAAAATAACAGATTCAACAGATAAAACTTGTAAAAAGCATATCTTAAATGACTATGTGTTTATAATATAATGCCCTGGAAAAGAGGTCACTGTTTTTGGCAATGTTTAGAACAACGTTTAATCGGCTGTTTCCATGGTGTTTCATCCTGGCTCTCAGCATCTGATGTCATGCTGTCAGAACTATAACCAAATCCTTCTGTGTTTCTTGGTTGCTCTTTCTGACATTTATACATCATACAATGCTCGTTACAAACTTTTAATCTTTTTGGTTTATTTTGGTCCTGTTTTTCAGCATCAGAATATTGTTCTGCATCACTTGATACAGTTTCATTACAGGACATCCGATTTATGAGATGATTGCATAATACATCCACAAAGTTGTCAACACCTTCATATCCTGAAACAGACAAAAAATCCTATTAAATTGATACTTTCTGTTAGATATATTTACATCCTTTCTGCACTTGGGATGATTTAGAGTTTGACATATTATATAGACATGTATGTAATATTTTGAAGACTGTAAGTTGACCTCTAAATGTCTTTTGGTTTTTTGTCTCATTGATGAATACAGTTTTTCCATAAAAAATTTGAATTAACCAGATATTTTTTCAAATCCGTTCTGTAAACTAGCAGTGCATTCTTTGAAGTGTGTAATTTTGGTGGACTCAAGTTTGTGCTGTAAAATTCATTAAAACAACAACACACTGATATGAAAGTTTACTTTTGTTTAATTCAACTGTTAACACAGAGAGATGTCTTGCTTTATGAAATTTTTATACTATAATACAAATGCTAAAATTTAAATATCATTACTTTATTATGTAAACTATGCAAAACATTAAAAAAAAAAACATTCAAAGTCAATGAACCATGACTGAAGGGACAGGGCCAAAAAGATGGAAATGACAAATGCCAATGGTAATACATATGCATATCAAATACCATTGACATCTTAAAAGTGGTTCTTAAAACTGACCTAAACATAAACTTTATACATGTAAACATTCCAAAAGTTTCAAAGTCAATGAACCATGATGAGGGGGCAGGCCCATATAATCTCCATGAAAATGAGATGAGCAAATGATAATACAACTGCATATGAAATATCATTGACTTTCCATTAGTGATTCGTCTTAAACTGATCTAATAAAAACTTTAATATGTAAACTAAGCCAACGTTTGAAAGTCCATAAACCATAACTAAGGGGGCAGGGCCAAATAATTTCCATGAAAATGAGATGTGCCAATGCTAATACAACTGCATACGAAATAACACTCACATACCACTAGTGATTTCCCTTAACTGACCTAATCACTAACTAATACATTGTTGATGCATTGACAATGCTGGAAACAGCACACCTGTCTTACTTTTTCCACTTCGTCATGGCTAGACAAAAAGCACATATTTTTTAATATACAGGATATTGACAGTGATAATGATAGGAAGAGACACAGAATATGTGAGCTCCTTTCCTGTCTATTACAGTTTTCACGGTAATAGGGAATCAACTAAAAATGGTAAAAATCATTAATTAGGGGCAATAACTCTTATAAGGAGTTATCTGATAAATTTGAATAAATAAAATCTAGAAAGACTTGATATCCAGAGTGCAGAGAATTATTGCATGTCAGATTTTCTCAATCCATTCTGTTTTTCAAAAATTAAGAACAAATATTTATATTGTACCATGTTGGCCATTTTGGTTGGTTTGCGGGGAAAAACCAACAAGTTTATACTAGATACCCTCAAGGCCATTCTGGTTTATGTAAATTGCTTTAGTGTTTTTAGAATAAACTGTTGGTTTTTTTTTAAAGTATATTGCAATTGAAGGCAGAAGCTAAGTAGTGTCAATTGCTCACATGGCACACAAGGCTAGGTGAGCAAAAAATGCTAACATAAATATGTATTTACTGACCTGGAAAAGCATTTATATCTATCACAGCATATCTTCCACTATCACAATCAACTATGACATCGATTCCAAATAAATCCATTTTTAGCTGTCGCTGTATTATAAGACCTGTTTCTCTTAATCTTTCATAATCTGGAGTAAAGGGAATTTTACTGACATCCTCTTGGTCCAACTGAAATATATTTTGTCACAATAAGAGAAATTCTATGACATTAAACAATCTGCACATTCTAAATTTCTGCAAGTCAATGACATACAATGTACAGCACAGACTTTCAATGATCATTGTAACTGAATTTAGATAAGAATTATTGAAAGTGATGTACATTTGGATTCAATTTATTAAGCAAAGGTGTATATATTTTCCATATTTCATACTTTCCTAGACAGGTTGGCACTGTCATTTCCTATACTCCCATGCTAATAAGCTATAAATTGGGGGTTTACATGACAAAGTGTGAAATGAAAGTACTGTCACTCTGCTATCTTGGATGGTTTATGACTTGTAATCCATTGTTGAAATTCGAACTAGGTAATGAGCACCATTCAGTTATGCCCAATTACATAATTTTTATCAATTTTTGAAATCATCTTAAGTAAACTAGACAATAAGTATATGAACACCTTTTCATCCATGGATATTTGGTAAGTGTTTTAAATTTGGATCATTGATATTAGTATGAGATTCATTTAGTGGTTCTTGTTAAAGTATGAGGTAGAAAGTTAACATTCTCTATATGAAATTATGTTCATGATGAACCTTTTTATGAATCACTGAATATATTCTCATAATTTTCAAATATTCTTAAAATGTTGAGTGATATGTATTACGGAAAAAAAATATGAGTAGAAATCCCTGCCTGAAGTTCCTGTTCAACAATCTTTTGACTTCTGAGAGCCAGATGTCTTTTTTATGAAATTAAATATGTGGCTGATTTTTTACCAACAGTGTAACAATGATGCAGTTTTCATAGAACAAAACTGAGATCAGAGTTCAACTTGTGAAGACCATCAAAGCTTGAAACTGAATTATTTCGGATAGGAATCAAAATATGGGGGTGAGGGGCAGAGGGGGTATCAGTGGTTTTATCTAATTCTATATTTGATATAAAATGTAACAGTATAATCAGATAAGTCCTGTCCTACTCATCATAAATTTCCTACAATTCCTCTGTGAAGTCTACATAATAGAGTGTTATGATAGAAAATACTTTTATTGGTTGTTTTTCAATTAGACTGTTTTTAATTTATTTAATTTCAAAACATAACAATAAACACAATCTTAAAGATGAAATTTGTGTTTTGTTATAACATTTTAGTTAGAAATTTCAATCAAAGTGCAAAAGTGCTAAAAGGCAGTGTCTAGTTTCTGTCTGAATGTTCACCCAACTTTAGCTGTTTTGGTTTTTTTTCACTTCTATTTATTATTCTAGGAAAGAAAGGATACATGTATTATGTATAGAACATGATTATGTCCAGTATGTGTTTAAATGACAAGATTGGTTTCTATATAAAAATGTAAATGAACAAGGAAAACACGATTTTTCTACCACCACTTCTAAATTCGGCACATCATTGAAACCCTATGTTGTTGACCTTTAGATAACTTTTTTGATATGATTGTATAGTTTGTTTGCTGTCTCATAAATGTTTACCCACATCTACTTTTATTTATAGTACAACTTTCATCTCATTCTTACTTCAGTCAAAAAACTGGAACTGTTTGGCTTTGACACATCATTACTATCAAAGTGAATTGTAGCTTGGCCTGAAAATATATAAATACTACTTAAAGTGGGTATATATAAATCCTATTAATCTAAAAATAAAATACATGCTGTTTATAGACGTTTAAACTAATTTCTACAGTTTAAAAATGTGGCGCTAAACAAAATTCTTACCACTTAAATTCAAAATAGCTTTCTGATAGTTTCTTTGAAAATTATTCACACCTTAATTAGACTTGGGATGATTTTGAGATTGACATATTACATAGTAACCTGTCTTGTTTGGGACTTTTGTTACTCTCTTTATGTCGTTTGATTATTAGTGTTATTGGGTTGCTGTCTAAATGAAAACGACACATATCTGGTTTTCATCTTATTTACACATTATATATACTTGAAATGCACTATCAAGTCACTGTCTTTTATTTAATAATTACTTCTTGTACTCCATAAAATTGAAGAGAACATCATCATTTCTAGGCTAATAATGTCCTCAAGAATTTGAACTTTTAGAATGCAGCATGTTTTGTTAAAGAAAGTCAGTTTTAATTCAGTCAATGGATTTCAAGAAATTCATCTTAAAATCTATTGCCTTTTTGGGCCCCTTGAGTCCTTATTTGTCTTTAAAAGAAGATCAAAATATAATACCACTTATAAAGTACCTTTTAAATAATAATTTTACTTGATTTTTTATTTAAAATAAACAAAATGCAATTTCCAATAGAGTTTCACAGAAAACTTTGACCTCTGCTGGCAGCCATTTTGAAAATTTAATCTGCACAAGAGTTGAAACATTTGTAAAGGACCTTCATCTTTAAAGTTTGGGTTTAAACAGTTCAATCGTTCTTGAGAAAGCAGTTTAAGAATTCAACCAAAATAAACTATTTATGCTGACAACAATGACATTTATGTGATGCCAAATAGCTTACAGGGCCAGATGAGATAAACCATACAATGTTCGGATAGATATTGACAATTGGAAAGTGTTGGGAAGAAAACGTGTGGCATGTATTATCAATTCATACCCCATTATAATAAAAACATATAGTTGTAAAAAGGGTGTTCATTTAACCTTTACTAAAAGCTTACCCCTCGGTAATAAATTTTTGATTGATGGTCTTTCAACTATAAACTGCTGATCACCAATGATGAAAACTTTATACAGAACTGCATTGTGATTAATGAAAGACTGGGCAACACATGGAGGCTGAATATCAGTTAAACCATAATCATCAAATATAATTGACATCTGAAAGAAAACAGTATGTTAAAAAGTTTTATTTCATATCAATTACTTATCCAAGAAAGGAGAAGTTGAAAACATTCATCTTCAACAATTTGTTGTTCGGCAACTATTTCCTAATATTATAATAAATTTCATTATATTATAATAACTTATCTCTGTACAGGTTAACACCAGATGTGAAAAAATACATTCCAGGTACTGTTTATTCTGTCTTCTGTTTATGGAATACATGATTTTTTAATACTACATGTACTATCAATGCAGATGTATTGGAATATGAAACACTTTTTATCTTTAACATACTGGGTTGAAATACAAGGTGCTATTGAAATAGAAATAATATAATATTACTCGCAACCTCCAATAACTCGAACCTCAGATAATTCAAATAGTTATGTCAGGTCAGCATTACTTAAGACATATCGAGTAAGACTGTAATAACAAAATTATCCCAATTGTTAAAAAGAGTATATAGAATAGTAAAAGTACTTTACCTGATGCGATTCTTTCTTCCCATGAGCAACTATAGGTTTGCATACTGAAAAAAAAATTGTAAATTATGCATAGACCATTATGACTGCAATTTCATTTTGTTCTAAACTATTAGGCAATCATTCATCTTTTTTCAGGGGGTTGGAAGGGGGGCATATTTTTTTTTTGGGGGGGATAATTTGAACAAAATTAATTGGTTCTGTACAGGTAAAAAACATTTTTTTTTTTTAATTTCTGAAATCTGAAATGAGAAAAAATTGTCCCCCCCCTCGCAATTTCTTTTTTACCCCCCCCCCCTCACAATTTTTTTCACCTCCCCCCCCCTTTTTCCAAAAAAAAAAAATCTTTCCCTCAAGATATGGTCATAATCTTAATTCAAATTTCCAATGGAGTTTGCAACCATAATTACCCATTTAAATACATCTTAAAGTCTTAAAATAGAAAATGACATACATAATCATGGCTAAAATTAATATTACTTCATCAGCATTTTTAAATAGTAACTTCTAAAAATAAATTGACAGCTAATCACCTAAAGACAATACAACATTTCTTTATACATAATTTAAAAGCAGTGTAAGGGAGGTAGTCCAAACATAACATTGTACTTATTTTTAATTTTCCATTAACCAGGAAACCCTTGTTTTTCCCCCTTTTTGCCCCTAATTCCTAAACGGTTTGAGCCATAACCCCCCAAAGCCAATTCTAACCATCCCTTTGTGGTATGGAAAAATCAATCCCAACCTTCCTTTTGTGGTTATAAACCTTGTGTTAAAATTTCATAGATTTCTATTTACATTTACTAAAGTTATTGTCCAGAAACCAAATGTCTTCAGACGACGCTGACGACGACGACGACATGATACCAATATACGACCACAAAATATTTTGCGGTCGTATAAAAATTGAAATGGTTTTTTTTTTAGATTCTTGCCACTATAAGTTGTTAAAAAAAAACGTTTTTTGTTTTTGTTTTAAAGTCTGAAGACTAAAACCCTTTAACCCCCACAGTAGATGGATGGTTGGTGCCTTATTTGGTATTAAAAGAAAGATACTGAAGAACTGTACATACCTGTATGATTTTCATACTGATTAATCACCTTTGTATGCCAAATATTAATACAATAATTATTTAAAGTTGTCCAAAATTTCAATTCAGATTAACCTTAATAAATGTTTTCCAATTCTTAAGAAAAGAAAATCTTAGAGGCTCTAAAGAGCTTGTGTTGCTCATATGGATCTATGTGCATTTTCGAAATTGAAAACTAGAATATTGTTCATGACTCGCAGATCTTTTTTTTCACAAACTGTCTAGACTCTGGGGATTTAAAGCTGAACAAAGATATAATCATTATTCTATATTGTTGAAGACTGAATGTTTACCTCTAGGCTTTATATTTTTTCTTTTTATTTTGTTACCTTGTAAATATGTTGGTCATTGTTTCAGTGATATATACCCCATATCTAAGCTTCTTTTTATTTCAAAATATAACAGGGTTCCCTACTTTTCAATATTAAATCAAACTTAAATGTGAACTTTACTGTACTACTCAAACAAAATAATAATAATAAATATATATCTATGTATAACAAATATTTGAAAAGTTTTATAGATTTATCAAAGAGATTTCCAAAAGTGTACTTGAAAATAACCTATAAAAGCATGTCACTTATACATTCTGAACATAACTAATAAATAACCTGTGTCACTTATGCATTTAAAAACCCCTAAAACTATTGATTCACCCATTGATTTAAAATCAGGACAGAATTTAAATGACGAACATGTATATATGAATACATTTTGAATATTTACTTATTGGTTTGTGACATTTATATTCATAATCCCTCGACAGATAACAATGTGTAGTTCACCCACACAGAAATTTAATACTTATGTCCTGAATAAATTAAGTCAAAACTAAGTCTAAGTTCTCAGTTAGATATGAAGGGTATGCATGGAATAAAACCATATATATGATCTGCATAAACATATAATTCATGAAATCCAGTCCACTATACTCTGCTTATTTAGAAGGCTTTACTAATAAAGTTTTACCCAATTGCAGTTTGAATTCACCTCCATAAACAGATCAACTGGTAAAACATTTTAGCTCATTGCTTCAGTGAAAATACAGTATGAAGTGAGTGCAATGAAGTAATGCTCCAGTTATTTAATATCTGTGTCATGAAATTGAAATCTACTATAATATAAGGCACTGGTTTAAAAAGGTTTGACTTGGATATGAAAACTTCTATCCTAATGACATTTTATAAATAATTAGTTCTAAATATAAAAATTTTTTTTTTTTTTAGTATAATTGCCAATGAGACAACTCTCCACCATAGACCGAATGACATAGAAGTAAACAGCTACAGGTCAACGTGTGGTCTTCAACAATGAGCAAAACCCATACCCCATAGTCAGCTATAAAAGGCCCCGAAATGACAAATGTAAAAAATTTAAACGAGAAACTAACACCCTGATTTATGTACAAAATAATGAACGAAAAACAAATATTATATACAGCAACAATCAACAACCACTGAATTACAGGCGTCTGACTTGGGACAGGCACATACAGAATGTGGCAGGGTTAAACTAGTTTGAAGGTGCCAACCCTCCCCTAACCTGGGACAGTGGTGTAACAGTACAACATAAGAACAAACTATAAAAATCAGTTGAAAAGGGCTTAACTCATCAGATTGATACAAAGCAGAAATAATTTGTTTTGTTGGTCAATAATTTATTGCTTTGTTTTCTAAATGTATATTATTAGTAGGTGATTATTTTATTTTCATTTTCACAACACATACATTAAACAAATGGATTTGGATGGTAAGCATTACTGTATATGTATTCATTAGATATGGTGCCCTGCTAATAACATGTCTAAAAGCAGTGGCTATGTCTCGCAGTGGCATCATTAGGAAATGAAATATATGACCATGCAATTTAAAAGCATTTTCTCCTTTTCACATAGATTTTTCAATTGTTTACATCTTGTTTTCATTTATTCAAACACCAAGGGTTGACTAGGGTTAGAAATATGGTAATCCCCTGGTCTTCTTCTGACTTGTAGAAAAACCTTGCCAAAGTGGAGCATTTGTTTGGCTGTGCTTGATGTATAAATTTGAAGCCACATCAGCTCAGAATGGGAACATTAAATCTTTGTGTAGAGAGAGTGCCAGGACCTCTAAACATTAAAGAACCTGTGCAACAACTCTTTGAAGGGTCCGTAGGTGGCCTGTTTAAAGGCTAAATTTCTTTCCCTATCCAATATACCCTCATTTCCAATGGCATTCCAAATTTCCAACCCTTTAACACATCCAGCCCCTATTGTAGGACCTATCCATTGTATTTATTACTAATCCTTTCTCTTACTGAATATACATGAAACATTTGCCACTGGATTTAAAGCATACAAAAATCAATCATTTATTGATTATAATTTCAATGTATTTAAAAATTGTATATACCGGTAACTTAGAATATAATAATGTGTATTCGCACAAAAAAACCAATAAAAAACCCAGACAATTTGAAGTAAAATCTAGTGTAATAACCCCCTCTCCCCCTCCTTGAATTCATCAGCACTAGCATGCCAAATTTAGCTCTGACCACTCTGTGAAATATCAAAAAGACAATAGGTATTCCAATTTTCCATTTTTTCAAGAAAGTGCATTGTAATATATTAATTGATCTTATAAAATAAGGAGATATAGTATGATTGCAAAAGAGACACCTATCCACCAGAGTTCAAACCACATGGATATAAATGACTATAGATCACCAAATAGCCTTCAACAATGAGCAAAACCCATACCATATGTATGTTCAAAAATTACATTTCAAGGGTCATAACTCCTGTAAAAAAATAAGTGATCAGGGATGAATTTTGAACTCATTCCAGACATTGGTGTTATCAAGTTTTGACATAAATTTCATATACAATCCTACAAGCATGACAAGAAATGTAGGCTGAAGAGCACTTACATCACAATTTTCAATATAAATTATATTTCCAAGTGGCAAAGCATTAAAAAAAGTTGTTTGGCATTGTACATATGAGAGCACTTACAAGACAGGATGGACGGACACAGGGACAAACAGATGTCTGGTATTCATATGTCACACACACAGTTATGTGTGTACAAAAAACTTTTTTTTAAACATCTTCAATAAGCAAAATATGTAAAATACTGGAATCAAGAATCCTGTATTTCTCAAAAAAGTATGTCAACCAATATATTCTTTTTAATTTTAAGTTTATACATTTAGTTCTCATACAGAAAATCTATATAAATTTAGCATCTAGCTACCTGAAATGTGCCTTAATAAAACACCTTTACTGAGATTGATCAACCAAGAATCTGAATTTGTATCATATTTTTTAATTACATCTTGATGTACACTTACAAAAATCACAAATTGCTATCAAAATTTCATTTTAAACCTGAATTCTAACCTCAATCTTTATTGACTAAAATTAAATTATAATTACTCAACCATGATACTCAGGTCACATATCATTTCTGACATTTAATGAAGTTTTATGTTGATACTGCATCTCCTTCACACCAAACTATGTAAACACTAAATGTTAACCTCAATTTTCAAATCATAAATTTTATACCACAATGGAGAAGATACACTCAAGGGGTCAAATTCACCCTAAATTCAAATGTTTTCAATTTTTTTCAATTTGCAGAATTAAACCATGAATACATGTGTTTTAAATTTGGGCAATACATGTGCTCTATTTTAATTTGGCCCAAAAGTTAGTGAAATTGGCATATTTTTGGCAAAAAACATGGAAATCTGCCTTAGGACGTCTTATTTGTCATAGTCAAATTGTGTCTTCGTGCATAAGCTAACACTTACATTTTCTGAAAACTTTTATTCTGAAAGTAATTGTTCTTTTAGGTAAAACAAGTTTTTTTAACATAAACATGAAAAAGGTCATCTCAAACAACCTCAAAATTCAACCAAAACTTAAAATTATGGTTATTCAACTATTTGAAGCGAGAACATTTTTTTTAGCTCTGTCTATAAAGAAAATATTGCTTTTTAATAAGAGAAAAGTATTTTTCAACAATTAAATTTTGAAAGGAGCAGTTAGGCCATACTAAAATGCCAATTTTCTGAATATGTCATGATTGTCAGAAAAAAATCATTCAATTACCATAATGTTTACATTGGTATATTACTGGCGACTGTTTAACATCCAGCAGCAAATACTAATGGCATATTCAGGGCCATTACCTTTTAATGAGATATCTATTTATACTGCTTCCTATTAAGACAAACACACTAAGTCAAACTTATAAAGTGTTAGCACACAAAGTAACAGTTCTCAGGATGACAATTCAACATATTCAGACACATTGTTTTAACCATGAGCCAAAAAGTCTACTTTTACTACAAAATGCTGTGTGTTTGCTGCAGAAGTTGACAATACCAATTTAAATTCTTTGGTTTGACCCAGACAGGGATCTAACCAATGACATAACTTATAGTCAGCCTGCTATACCAAAGGACAATGGATGCAGCATAATTTATTTCTAAACTTGTTTTATTGCCAGAAAATGTATAATATACCTGAAAATATCCCCTTGGGAATATTTAAGGCCTCAAATAATTTGTTGACCATTATTCTGGAACAAAATAATTGTACAGGTACAATAGAAGATATATTGATGAAGTGTGTATTGGATATACATAGCCATCTTTTAAATCTGGGTCAATTTGCTAACAAATTTCAACTTAGATAGAACACTGAATGACCATGAAAGCAATACTGCCTATTTCACATATACCAAATGATAACCAGACTACTGACTTACCAAAAGGATAGGTAACATTGGCTTCCCTTAACTTGTGTATGTTGCTCTGTACATCAGCTGTAGTCAAAGTTACAAAGGAAGGGGTAAAAACAGGAGAATCTGTAACAAAAACATACTCATTAACATGATGGAAAGAGTTAATTTAATATCTGGAAAGGATCATGTATGCTTGATTGCTTTTATAGTAAAATGCATTGGTAAACCATGTGTTAATCTAACAAAACATGCAAAATAAACATTTGAAACTATTTAGAGACAGGCAAATCATGCAAATATTGGTTATGCAAGTTTATATTAAATCCCCATTTTCAATGTAAACTCTTTTTGAAATTCAGACACTGTGCCAAAGAATATAGATCTTTTTTATTTTAATTTACCTAAATATAACAAAACTCACTTGACCATTATTTTCATAGTAATTAGGTAAATCATGGGTGGATCCAGGTTAAAAAGTGGAGGACAGGAGGAAGTAATTGTGTGTAATGGTGGAAGCAGGGGCGAGCATAGCAGCTAAACAAAATTTGGAGTTTTATTCAACAATTTAAATTTTTCCAATCAAAGTGTATACCCTCTACTACACCTAACCAAAATTGGCCACCTTTATTGGTTTATTAAAATGTCATAATCTATTTCCCGTATTGCTTGTTAAAAGTAAAAGTGAACTATTGCCTATATTGCTCAGTTAATACCTATTCCAAATGTCCTGAATGGTAATTCTCTACAGCAGTAAAGTCTTATCAGCATGAATAAGTTTATAAAAATAACTTCCATACATTATTTGCTATTTTTATTTCAATTTGGGTCACCAAACTGATTTCCCCAGAGGTTATTATGATAATTTAAAATAAACTGTTATCACAGAGATATGTCTCACCTTTTTGTAATTTTGATAATGCAAATGTTGAAATTAAAATAGCAATACTTTAACATGTAAGTTATGCAAATATTCAAAGTTGATGAACCATGACTGAAGGTACATGGCTAAACAATCTCCATGGAATGAGATGTGCCAATGCTAATACAACTGCGTACCAAATACCAGTGACACACCAACAGTCGTTCCCTTTAAACAAACCTAAACACAAACATTAACTTGTAAACTATGTAAAAGTTTCAAAGTCAATGAACCATGATCAGGGGTGGGGGCTATATAATCTCCATGGAAACGATACTTGCAAATGCCAATAAATTTGCATACCAAATATCATTGACTTAACATTAGCAGTTCATCTTAAACTGATCTAATCACAAACTAATACATGTAAACTAAGCAAAAGTTTCAAAGTAAATAGACCATGACTGAGGGGGCGGGGCCAAATATTCTCCATGGAAATGAGATGTGCTAATGCTTATACAACTGAACACCAATTAACATTGGTCTACCACTAATGGTTCCCATTGAACTAACGTAATCACAAACTAATAGATGTAAACTTAGCAAAAATTTCAAAGTCTATAGACCATGACTAAGGGGGCGGAGCCAAATAATCTCCACAGAAATGAGATATGCCAATGCTTATAAAACTGCATACCAAATATCATTCACCTACCATTAGTGGTTCCCCATAAATTGACCTAATCACAAACTAATTTACAGATGTAAGATGCAAGATATAAAACCTCATATTAAAGGTCTTCAAAATTACATAAAAGAAAACTTGATTTTAGAGAAACATATTTCTTCAAAATATTTAAGTATGGAAGAACACAACTTGTACTGGAACCCCTGGGCTAAGATCATTAATTAAATTTAAATTAGGTTAATGTATATACATATGTGTATATATATGAGTATTTGAAAGAACTTGTATACTGGTAGTTATACCATATGCTTGCTCTACTATTATTACTATATTAATGAAAATGTTATTACTATACTTCATTCATAGATTTTATAGTGTTAGTCCATAGAATGCTTATCATGCTTATTTATTTCACTTGCTTGATTATTGTACCACAAGATAAATATATGTTGATACCTGTAAATTCATGAAGAAAAATAATAAATTATAAAAAAAATAATCACAAACTAATACATGTAAACTATGAAAAGTTTCAAAGTCAATAGACCTTGACTGAGGGGGCGGGGCCAAATAATCTCCATGGTAATGAGATGTGCCAATGATAATACAACTGCATACCAAATATCATTGACCTACCACTAGTGGTTCACCATGAACTAGACCTAATCACAAACTAATACATTGTTGACGCCGGAAACAGCATACCTATGTCCTGCTTTTTGACTCCTTCAAGGCGAGAAAAAAATAACAAATGATGTATTGACAGATGACAGACACAATGTTATAGCAATAAGAACATATCCTATGGATTTCTGATGCATTTTAAAAAGACTCTTGAAATGTAATAATACTTACATTTTCCAAAATATTTTATTGATTTAAAACAAAGGTGTCAGGTGAGATCAAAAAGAAAGACCACATATCATATTTTCATACAGTATCCTAAATATTTCAATAAAACAGTGTCTCTTCTATTTAGTCATTTGACCTTTTTCTTGAATATGGTCAACTGGAAGTGACACTGTGCAATGGGAACTTATTTCATATAAAAGTACTTAGTCACAGATTTAAATAACTTTAAACCCTAACATATTGATTGAACTAGCTTTCAGTATCTGTGAGTACTCTGATATCTATGCTTTGTGTCTATTGTTTCAATCTTTGTTGTTTTTTTTGTGTGCTTCATACCAATCTATTGAGTTAAGCCATTTGCAAGATTTTTATAATTTTTTTATGTTGTGCTGTTTCACCACTGTCTCAGGTTTGGGGAGGGTCATGTTTAACTGTACCACATTCTTTATGAACCTGTCCCAAGTCAAGCCTGTAATTTAGTGGTTGTTGTTGGTTCATGTCACAATTCATCCTTTGATACAACTGAAAAGCATACTTTTATACAGTAATACACATATCCTACAATATATACACCTCAATGCACTTACACCTCAATCTTCCATCTCCATATACTACATCCTTCAAAACACTTACACTACATCATCCCACATTATAAGTATGTTACTTACCAGAATCTAATAAATGGCACTGTAGTAACAACCGATACTGGTAATTTCTATCTAATAAATGATTTATATGCTCAAATTTATCTACTACTATACAACCAGGATTCTTCTCAATGTAATCCTGTTAAAAAGAAAAAAAAAACAATCTTTTTAAATTTCAAAAGAGATTTCTGGCAAATTTTATATCTAAATCACAGTTATATTTTATCTTGAAAAATTCTTTTTTTACATAATTACACATCACAGTAGGCCACATTACATTTGCAGGCATCAGGGGATTAATGTGTTTCATTTGATTGCCCACAATATATCATTACATTTGTGCATATTCTTTTTACAAATAATGCATGTCAAAATATAGATAATTCATGATCAATAAGTAGACAAATTTAAAGTTTGAAAATCCAAACAAACATGGAAATAATACAAAGTATTCAATCTTTTTCATACTTTATATGTCACAAGTTCATTTGATCAATTATTGTTAGTGTTTATGGCCTATGTGTAAGTAATGTGCAAATATTGATGAGTAAACAATATTCTATATTAAAAATCACTGTTTTTAATAAGAAATTCATTAAGAAAATGGTATGTCATTCTATCTCGCCATTCAAATCTCAAGGTATTATGAATAAAATTTTCTTCAAAATTTATTTAAAGACAGATACCAATTTTGGACAAGCTTGATAATATGGATTTTTTAATGTACATTTCAAAAGTTTAACAATTGATTAAATATTTCATGACTAAATAGCAACATAATAGAAAGAGACCTTGAAATGGAACTAATAATGTGACTAGTATTTACATCAATACAAATTGATGCAAAATTAAAATGCTCAGCAGGGCACAGCTTGATACAAACGCAGAGATTGAACCATGAACATTTGGGGCAAGTATGGAAACTACATTCAAGCTTGATACAGCTCTGAATTTGAATTGTGATTACAAATTTGACACAGCATTGGTTTCTGACACAAAATGAATGTGGTCAAAGAACTGAAAAATTTGGGCTTTGAAATTTGACTTTTACCTATTATGGTCCAATATCCAAAATCTAAATACACGGTTAGATTCAGTTTAACCAAGTACACCAAGAATTTAATTCGTTTATTTATTAATGGACAATATAAGATAAGTTTTTCAAGGGGTTCCCTTCATATAAAAAAAATTCTCAAAATATTATTCATCATTAATACAATGTCTTTAAAAAATCTATATAACTTACCAATTAGTTAATTATTTTTCAAAATATCTAATAATGAACAGTAAATTTCAAACTATATTTATACATAATTTCTTCTCTAAAATTAGAATTTGATGCTGTATCTATTTTTAACTATAAATCTACTTACAATTTCTATTAACTGTGCAATACAGTTCTGAATTTGGGTTGTGATTAAATATTTGACATAGCATTGGTTTTTGACACAGAATGAGTGTGGTCTAAGAACTTAAAAATTTGAAATTGGACATTTACTTATTATGGTCCAATATCCCAAGTCTAATTACATGGTAAGATTCAGCATATCAAAGAACCCCAAGAATTTAATTTTTGATGAAATCAAACAAAGTTTAATTTTGGACCCTTTGGACAAAGGAGTAGGCCTGGTAAGACCCCATTTTGGCCCCAAAATATAACATTTCAAAAATTTGTTAAAAATTAAAACTTTTACCATTTTATTGGAAAGAAGAATACTTTTGTTACATAAATATGGGATGTTTTTGACAATACAATGCACATGCATCAGGTACTAGCATCATTAATGCATGAAAAATTACAGAAATCTTCACAATTTTAGCATTTGTGCTTATTTTTAAACGGTTTTTGTCGAAAATGGAAGTGGCCGCACTTGTGTTCAGTCTTAATATTTAAATATATGTTGTATTTGATGATAATACATGACATACATAAAGGTTGAGACTGACCACAAATGCAGCCACTTTCATTTTAGACAAAAACCATCTGAAAAGTGACATTTTGTGGCATATTTGATAGATTTTTCATATTTAAGCTTGAATTAAGGCGTCTTTTAGAACCAAATCAGTTTAAATCTTTTACATAAACTAATTGAATCGACTGAAGAAGGCACTTAAGTGTTAAAAAATGTCAAAAATCTTTCATGAGATGTACTTCATATATATATACAAAGTTTCATTTTCAACCCTTTGGACCTCAATGTGGACCAATTTAAAAATGGGGCCCAAAATCCAAAATCTAAGTACACAGTTAGACTCAGCAAATTGAAGACCCTAAGATTTCAAGACTTTGAATTAAACCCCATTGAAATTGGTCAAGACTTTAGGAATTTATACAAGCATTAAAAAAGTATTGTTTTTGTTCCCTTTTTCCTTAACGATTAAGGCAATAACCCCCAAAATCAATCCCAACCTTCCTTTTTTGGTATGAAACCTTGTGGTACAATTTCTTAGAGATCCATAGACTTATACACAAGTTATTATGTCATTATATAAATGTATAAGTGCTGCTTCTTTGACCTAGACCTTAACACTTTATAAATGTAACTTAGTTTTCTCAATTGAATTGTTTCATATTTTTCATGTCTGGGCCTTTTATAGCCGCCTTTACAGTATGGGTTTTTCTCATTGTTGAAGGCTGTAATTGCCTATAATTGCTTACATTCACTTCCTTTGAACTTTGGTGGATAGTTGTCTCATTGGCAATCACACCTCTCCTTATTTTTAAACTGATGAGTAAAATGCTGCTCAAGATGGACTTTTTTTTTGTCTGACCACCACTATCACTATATACATACATTGTATGTATCTCTTGACTTAATACTATTCCCAAATTACAAAGTTGATTATCCAAAGTCAATCATTTGTCAAAATATTCAAGGGTGAACCAATTTCAACAGGAAACTAAATATTTCTAATATGTGTCCAGCTATGAAATACTATTCCTTTAAATTATGATATGTAGTTGCCCATATCTGGACCTTAATAATGCAAAACTTAACCAGTCTTTCAACTGTGAATTAACCCATTTTTGCAAGGACCTTTTTTACTAACTCCCCAATCTAGGAAGCATGCCTGATAAAATTATATTCCATAATTTGAAGTTGCTTAGATCTTGACCTTAGAGAAAACAAAATTAATTGGAGCAGCCAACAGCATGAACAGACAGATGAAAACAAAAAAAATACAGAGGTTATACTATAACTACTGCAAAACTTAATTATGTGAGAGAATAAAAATGTGTATTTACAATGTAAAATATGTACAGGATTCTCTTGATAGTCATTTAAGACTGATTAATAATTTTGTTTTATTTCATATTTACTTAAGGGAATTAACATTGGAGAAAAACAAATATATCCTTTCAATACCATCTAATGAAGATGATATATTGATCCTGCATCTATTAGCTTGATAAAAACCACCTCCCAGTATATGATTTATTTACTATTTTGATTTATATTAAAGTAATTGTCATTTTCATTTAATTAAAACTCTCTCTGAAGCTTGAAGAAACATATTAGTTGATTAAAATTAGTTCTGCTGATTCTCTTTTACTTTATACAATACATGTAATAGATTGAATTGTGTTTTTAAGGAATCATTGTACAGACATGAGTGTCACATTAAACAGAGAAACCAATTGACTTGGGTTTCATACCCTTGATTTGAAGGAGACTGCCAAATTATTGCCGAAAAAAAAACAATAAATAAATAATCATTACTTTCAAGAAAGCAAAAATAATTTTTTGATTTGATTGGCATATTTGACCTATAATGGTTTACTTTTATAAATTTGGACTTGGATGGAGAGTTGTCTCATTGGCACTCATACCACATCTTCTTATATCTATATATCATACTATAAGGGTATGTTCTCATGAATCCATCAAATTCTTCTATAATACATGTCATAGATATAGCTAGAGGCTCTAAAGAGCCTGTGTCTCTCACCTTGGTCTATGAGCATATTCAACAAAGGACATTTTCCAACATTGTAGAAGAGAATAGAATACATAACAAAAATCTCTGTTTTGTTGATCTTGTAATGCTGATCATTTAGTCTGTTTAATTTCTCTCTATCTTCTTTAGTTTTTGCTCAAAACACAAAAGAGGGTAAAAAAAATCCTCATTTAAGGGCAATCACTCCTATAGGTTGCACTTTGTAAATCCAGCTGTTATCATCCTTGATAAATATTGTTGTTGTGGTGTTTTTGTCCTGTCTATAACCTAAAAGTAAGCCTTAATAACTGATTGTGCTTTCTTATGACAGTGGCTTAAAAAATACAAGCTAGAAATACAAAAATACCTCAATAAAACTAACAATAGTGTGTTCTATCCTAAATATGTACTTAAGTACTTGCATTTTACTCCTTTTTTCTATTTTTAGCCATGTTGGCCATCTTGGTTGGCAGGCGAGGTGATCGGACATATTTTTTTTAAACTAGATACCCCAATGATGATTGTGGCCAAGTTTGGTTAATTTGGCTCAGTAGTTTCAGAGAAGATTTTTGTAAAAGTTAACAATGACGGAGGACAACGGATGACGGACGCCAAGTGATGAGAAAAGCTCACTTGGCCTTCAGCGAGGTGAGCTAAAAATAAGATGTGGTATAATTGCCAATGAGACAACTCTCCACCAGAGACCAAATGACATAGAAGTTAACAACTGTAGGTCACCGTACGGCCTTCAACAATGATCAAAACCCATACTGCATAGTCAGCTGTAAAAGGCCCCTAAATGACACACGTAAAACAATTTTAATGAGAAAACTAACGGCCTGATTTTTGTAAAACAAGAATGTGTCGATACTACATGGATGCCCCACTCGCACTATCATTTTCTATGTTCAGTGGACCGTGAAATTGGGGTCAGAACTCTAATTTGGCATTAAAATTAGAAAGATCATATCAAAGGGAACATGTGTACGAAATACAAATATGATATACAGCAACAAACGCCAACCCAGACACCTAATTATCGCTATTTGGAAATCTGCGCAGGTTGACCCGAGAATCTTCGCCGCTTGAACTGCTGACGTCATACAACAATCACTTTTCCATTGTCGCGTCAGATATTTGTATTATGACGTCAAAATTTTACGGGAACCTTTGTGATGTCCAGTAATGGCGGACAAATAGCGATAAGGTGTATGAATTACAGGCTCCTGACTTGGGACAGGCACATACAGAATGATAGAGTATTTTTGCTCAACATTTGAAAACTCAAAATGAAATTTCAAAATTGAATTAATATTATTTACTTAATTATAAAACTGATATTTAAATAAAATGTGAATTAAACTCTTGTTGATATTAACTCTATTTTATATGTTAATTTAATGTGTTTTAACACCAATCTAAAGAATGTTTTTGTGATTGGTCTGTTTATCACTATACATGTTTTTCCATTGTATAAATGTAGGTATTATAATAATAAGACAATCACAATACCATTAATTATTGCATTTGTTTCAAATGCACAACTTATTTCACTTAATTTTGTAACTGGCATAGGTTCAAGGTATTTTATTTTACATTCCCAGATTACCTGTAAATTCAATTTACATTAAATACAATTGTCAGTTAAATTATTCACATGTATGTTTGTCGATAGTTGTTTATTTCTAAAGATAAAATAAACAGTGGAACATGGCTGCAGTTAACCAATTTATTTTGTTTAAAGTATTGGTCCAAAACAAACAAGTTTGAGTTATGTGCCTCTTGGTAAATCCAGACATACCCATGGACAGTTATTAACATTGTCTGATTTTTAAAAACATTAGAATATCAGTGGACCATTCTTAATAAATATTTGTTACAAATAATTCCCCGATTCTATATCTGAATGAGTGGGACATGGCCCCTTTCTTCTGGATCACTTCCTATGGTAACCATTTACTAGTTGATGTCTCAATCAGACACATGAAACCAACTCAAAGTAAACACATTTTTACTGTTGAAGTGTATGCTTACAGCAGAAAATATTAATATTAATCATGTTAATAATGTTCCATTTGATCTACCAGAGAACTGACCTAATGACCATTTGCAATTGCCAAATAATCTGCCACTAAGCAGTAGTTTTTCACAAACGACATATTACTATAAGTAGTAACAAAATGTACATAAATTCTTGTTTAAATTGTTTGAAATTTGTCATTTTGGAGCCTTTTATAGATTGCTATACGGTATGGGTTTTGCTCATTGTTGAATGCTGTATGGTGATTTGGTGACCTCTAATTGTTAACTTCTACATCATTTGGTCTCTGGTGGAGAGTTGTCTCATTGGCAATCCTACCACATCTAGTTTTTTTATAAACTTACTGTTGTACCAACTGAATTATACCAACCTTTATATTATTTATTTGACACTCAGCAGTAAGGTCCCCATCTTTGGCAGCTACCATCAACCCAGTACATTTATGTAGAATCAAATCAAATGGTCCCTGTTCTGTTAAAGGCTGGTCTATATCAAACTACAGTAAATGTAAGACAATAATATTAAATCTAATGTAAAATGAACACATTTACACTGGAAGCAGCTTATCAATGATTAAAGCTGAATTGTTAACTTTTCCCCCCCATTCAAACCTAAACAAAAAACTTCATGATTTGAAACATGGTTATCTTTTAAACAATCTAAAAAAAGACATTATGAGATAAATGAGATGAAGAATGAACATGAAACAAATAAGTATGAATATCATTTCATGCACTAATAATCACTATGACCCGGTTTGTTCCAGATTCACTTAGAGAATACTAATAAAAAAAGTCAAGTCATTTAAGACCATTTAACTTGATTTATTTTTTTGTGGATCTTGTCTTGCTGTTTCTATTTATGTTTTATTGTTTTCAACTCTTGAAAAAAATTCTAAAAAAAATTGAAAAAATGTCATTTAAGGAAAGTGACTCCCATAATAAGTTCATCCACACATTCAGTTAACTTATTTGTAAAATCTTATTTTGCTGATTATTTGAGCTGTTCACAGTTTTTCTCCATCCAATTTAATTCTCAAGATAACCATAAGTGAAAAAGATGGGTAAAAGTGGTTATTGAAGGGCATTAACTCCTATAATTATGATGTTGACTTATCTTGCTGACCATTTTTGCTCGAAACTATTTTTCTCAATCTAATATAGTTTTCAAAATACTATCATAATCACAAAAGAGGGTATAACCATCATTTCAGACCATTAACTCCTATAAGGAGTCAATTGACAATTTCAGCTATGTTTTGACTTATTTCGTAACTTAGATTGTTGATCATTGTTTGTCTCTAGCTATTATAGTATTCAAGAACATAGCCAAATATGTCAAATATGGGTAAAAATTGTCATTTAGGAACAATTACTCCTACAAGAAGTCAATTGTTGATCCTAGTTATATGTAATTTTTTTTGTAGATTTATTTGCTACTCTTTTTTGCTTGTTACAGTTTTTCCGTAACTATTGAAGTTTTGAAGAAAGTAGCCAAAAACACCCCAAAAAAATGTGAAGGGTTCCGTAGAGCCCTGTGTCTCTATAGTTAAAATGGTTATGATTATAATCATCAGTTATAGCAAACTACTCATAGAATTTGCCATATATAGATGAAGACTTTAAAAACAGAAAATTTGCCCCCTTACAGGAATAGAGTTGAAGACCAGTTTTATTTTTTCATTGAATGGAGGGCATCTTGAATTACATTTTTTAGTCATTTATGTTGTACAGTGTTAACATAATACATAAGTCTGACCAAGTAAAAAAAAACAATTGTTTCATTTTGAAAAATAGTGATACTGATATTTTTCTTGTTGTGTTCCTGTAATAAATGGTATTTATCATTCAAACTTATTGTACTATTTTGTTAATAGAATATGAATAAAAACTCCCTGCAATATACAATAGAAATAGTCTCTGATCAGTGAGAAAATATGTCAACGCATTTCTGTGTTGACTTTTGTAAATACCATTTGGTACCATTCCTATATTTGAATGTTAACAATAAAACTATTTGATTTGATTTATGTAACAATGTACAAGGACAAATTTTATCAGAGGAACAAAAAAACCAATCATGCTACATGTACTGTTAGAGGCGCATTTAATTTACATATCCTTTTACTGGAGTTAACTAGTTTGTTCTGGTGTGTTAATATACCAACGGAAAAACAAATTCTTAGTATTCATGATAAATTATATTTGTCACGTGACCAAGTATACTACTGATCTATAACTAAAGATCAATACCTATATATTACAACCTATTTATGATCACAAAAAAAATCAATAAATATACTTATAAATCCCAATTAGTGTCATTAATTAACCATGTATTATCTACACCAATTAGAGCACCTCATTAAAGTTGATAAGTCAATCTATCAGAAAATATAATTTTAATAAGAACTTGTTATATGTCTTATTTATAGACTGAAATATGAAAATGCTATCATAAACTTTAAAAATAGATATAGGTCATCACCTTTTAAACCTTAGATTTTGCAAGAAAGTGTGGATATATATATGTGGGAACTGTTGCCAAAATAAGATGATTGTCTGGCCTTGATCCTTAGTCAACAACAAAACACTCTATATAGATACTGACTTAAATTATGCACCTCTCTTTGTTACTGTAGTACTTCATACGTGTAAAAGCATTTAAATATGATGTATAACACTATCTCACTAAATTATTTGCTGACATGCTGGGTGGAGGCATCTGACATTATCTTAAAAAAGAACAAATGATCAGTGTTTATGACTAGCTCATGTCTGTACACTGGTTATTGTATATCAAGTACTAGTAATATCTTGTACATGTACTTGTATTTCTTAAATTAAATTTGTCACAAGATTGAAAAATAACCTATAAAGTACAAAACCTCATGCTTTATTGATGACTCATAATTGGTTGTCTTATAATAGCAAAAAATATGCTCATTTCAATTGTATATAATCTTAAGCTGGAGAGGCTCACGTGGGACTATATCTATGAACAGGCTTGATGTTTTTCAACATTTAATAAATTGCAAATGATAAATGTTACATCACTCATTGTCATTCCTATAAGAATATATCAAATATTCTATTTTTTTTAATTCAAGGCAAACTAAAGGCTCCCTTGGAGAATGGTGCTTTGACAGCTTAAATAAAATGCTCCGCTGGGCGCAGCTTGATACGACCACAGAGGTCGAACCCTGAACAGTTGGGGCAAGTATGGACACAACATTCAAGCTTGATACAGCACTGAATTTGAATTGTGATTAAATATTTGACACAGAATAGGTTTCTGACACAGATCTAGAATAAATGTGGTCTTAGAACTTAAAAATTTTTAATTTACCTATTCAAACCATATTATTATTATTTGCTTTTATATATAAATAAGAAATAACCAATTTAAAATGGAAAATTTTAACGAAACTAGAGGCTCTCAAGAGCCTGTGTCGCTCACCTGTATTTACTGATGCTTTGGAAATCATGTAAAATAAGGTTAAAATCATAATTAATAGTATTAGATATTAGATATTATAATGATATCTAAGATAATAACAAAAAACTGCAAAATTTTTGTAAAATTACTAACTCAGGGGCAGCAACCCAACAATGGGTTGTCGGATTTGTCTGAAAATTTCAGGGCAGATAAATCTAAATCTGATGAACATTTTTGCCACCTGTCAGATTTGCTCTAAATGCTTTAGTTTCAGAGATATAAACCAAAAACTGCATTTTACCCCTATGTTCTATTTTTAACTAAGTTGGCCATGATGGTTGGAAGGCGGGGTCATCGGACAAATTTTTTAAACTAGATACCCTAATAATGATTATGGCCAAGTATGGTTAAATTTGTCTCAGTAGTTTCAGAGAAGAAGATTTTTGTAAAAGATTACAAAAATTTACAAAAAATTGTTAAAAATTGACTATAAAGGGCAATAACACCTAAAGGGGTCGACTGACAATTTTGGTCATGACAACTTATTTGTAGATCTTACTTTGCTGAACATTATTGCTGTTTACAGTTTATCTCTATCTATAATAATATTCAAGATAATAACCAAAAACTGAAAAATTTCCTTAAAATTACCAATTCAGGGGCAGCAACCCAACAACAGGTTGTCAGATTTGTCTGAAAATTTCAGGGCAGATAGATCTTGGCCTGATAATCAGTTTTACCCTATGTCAGATTTACTCTAAATGCTTTGGTTTCAGAGATATAAGCCAAAATCTACATTTTACCCCTATGTTCTATTTTTAGCCATGGCGGCCATCTTGACTGGTTGGCAGGGTCATCGGACACATTTTTTTAACTAGATACCCTAATGATGATTGTGGCCAAGTTTGGTTAAATTTGGTCCAGTGGTTTCAGAGGAGAAGATTTTTGTAAAAAGCTAACGACGACGAACGACGACGACGGACGACAAGTGATGAGAAAAGCTCACTTGACCCTTCGGGTCAGGTGAGCTAAAAAAAGGGAAAATAATCCCCCCCTCCAAATTTTTTGAACCCCCTTATGATTCATCACCCCCAAACTCAATCCCTGCCTTCCCTTTGTGGTATGGTACCTTGCAGTACAATTTCAGAGAGATCCATACACTTGAACACAAGTTATTGTCTGGAAACTAGAAAAATGCTTGTTTTTTGCCCCTTTTTGGCCCCTAATTCCTTAACTGTTGGTACCATAACCCCCAAAATCAATCCCAACCTTCCTTTTGTGGTATTGAACCTAATGGTAAAATTTCATAGAGATCCATTCACTTTATATAATTAACTAAAGTTAGAGTGCGAAAACCAATGTGTCTACGGACGACGACGACGATGCCAATGTCATACCAATATACGACCGCAAAAATTTTGCAGTCGTATAAAAACTTTTTAAATAACAATAATAAACACTTTGAAAATCCATTCAGAAAAATTTAATCAGTGGTTTCAAATACCACAGCCTCGTCTTGTTAATCTAGGTGTATACATTTACATTTACTTCCTAAAAATTGTTGGAAAAACTAACATTTTGCATTGCCATGGCATACCAGTATGTGATATATAAACCATGGCAAAAATGATAAAAATGTTATTAAAGAGAACAACTTCAATAAGGGGTCATCAGTCAATTTAAACCATTTATCTATTATAGTTTTTCAGATAATAGGCAAAAATGAAAAAAATTGGTAAAACCCCATCATTAATGGGCAATAACTCCAATAAGGGGTCGTCAGATGATTTCACCCATTTAACCTATTTGCAGATCTTGTCTTGCTGATAATTTTTGACTATCTAAGTTTCTATCTATCTATCATACGTTTTCAGATATTAGACAAAATCGGAAAAAAAATAATAAAATCGTCATAAAAGGGCAATAACTCCAATAAGGGTCATCAGACAATTTCAACCATGTTGATTTATTTGACGTAAAACTTATCTTGCTAATCACTTTTGCTATTTAAGGTTTCTCCCTATCTATCATAATTATCAAGATAATAGGCAAAAATTTTAAAAGTTGGTAAAATTTGAATTCAAGGGCAATAACTTCTATAAAATAGTCCTCCGACAGTTTAAAAGTAAATGGACACTAGAAAGATCTCATCATTCCAAACATATTAAGCCCTTCTCAGATTTTCTCTATTTATAGTGGTTTTCAAGATAAAAGACAAAATTTGCCTATTACCCATATGTTTTTTTAGCCATGTCGGCCATCTTGGTTGGCAGGAGGGGTCATTGGACACATTTTTTAAACTAGATTCCCTAATGTTAATTGTGGCCAATTTTGTTAAAAATTTGGATCAGTAGTTTCAGAGAAGAAGATTTTTATAAAAATTAAAGACGACCATGATGACGGACGCCAAGTGATGAGAAAAGCCTAAAAATAAAATAATTTGGCCAAAAAGTATTATATGGGTGGTCAAACATGTTTTTCATTTGATTATAAAGATAAATATTCATAATCTGACCTGTGTTCATGTTTCTCTACAAGGAATTGATACCACTCTGTTCTACTTTCCCTTGTGAAGACCTTTTTTTATATCCCCAGATTTCTTTTTTATAAGATACACATCCGAAAGTTTGGAGGCTGTGATTTCATTGGTTGATATAACAATATTAGAACAGAAAGCAGATCAGATCATTGTCAAATCCTTGTAAGGGAAGCAAGGACAAAGGATTTTAATTGCAATCAGATTGAAATTTTCAAAATTGCATACAAAGGGCAATACAAAGGGAATAATATTGCTTTCAATTAAACTGGTCCACTTATTAGTTTTAGAAAATAGGAAAAAAAAAATGATTTCTTTCAAGGATCAGTGGAAACATATGAGGCATTACTGCTCCCATGCATATGCATGGTCCTATTCATAAAAAGGGTCAACTTTGTAGTCTTTTGCAATTCCAATAAAGATATGACAGAGATAAATGTCAGGTAATGACTACATTATGTCAATTGACTTGATAATATATATATCACAAATTTTTTCATATAGTTCATCAAATTTTATATGACAAGTTATATCTCTATCCAGCCATTTATATGCAAATATTACAAAACAAGCGTGCATAAAAAGTAATTGTATGCATTTAAGGAATGTATATAAACAAGTCATACATGTAAGAATCCAAATCTAATAGACAACTATGTCAGAGTACATATTTCATTGAGATATTTGTCAAATGTCAACGAACAGCAAATTAACAACTTTATGTAAATAAAGTGAGCATTCAGAGTTCCCTCAGAAAGTCATACATGGCCTGTGAAGTTAATAACACTTCTCAGTTCACTATAAAGACTTTAAGAGAGTCTAATGACGAGATTAATCTGTATAAAAAATGGCAATCCCATAACCCATAAAGAATATTTTTACTTACTTTTACAAGATCTATACCAGCATTTCTGAAAAAAGTTAATAAAATCAGTAAATTATACATTACAAAGACACAACCTCACTACTTACTGTCCTGAACATTTACATTTTTTGGGTGCTCTGAACATATACATGTACTTGTAAATGTACATGTGCACAAAAAATAATATTTGAGAGAAAAAAATCAATTTCCATATTGCATTCTTTAGTTCTTAAATTATCTTATTTACATATAAATAAGTTTCTGATTTCAAGTGATGTCGAAAAGCTCACACTGGTAAAACAAGAGTGCACACACTGAAATGTCTCACCTACTTTACTGACCATTGAATTTTGTTGAAAGTCTTAGAGATAAAGGTTTAACTACAAGTATCACATAAACTGAACATTTTTAAAGATCCATGCATGGCAATGAGGTAAATGTCAGATTAATCCTGTCAGATAGTCATGTACACCTTACAATTATTCCATACACCAAATATAGTTGACCTACTGCTTATAGCATTTGACAAAGAGACCAAAACACAAAAAATAAACTTTGAAAAATAAACCATGAAAATAAGGCCAAGGTCAGATACTACCTGTCAAACAGACATGCACACCTTACAATCATTCAGTACACCAAAATTAAGTTAACCTATTTCTTAAAGTACTTGAAAAACAACCCAAAACACAAAAACTTACCATTAACCAATGAACCATGAAAATGAGGTCAAGGTCAGATGAAACCTGTCAGACTGACATGTACCCCTTACAATCAATCCATACACCATATACAGTTGACCTACTGCTTATACATGTAGTATCTGAGAAACAGACCTAATCACGTAACTTTAACCTTGATCACTGATCCATGAAATGAGGAGGAGGTCAGGTGAATCCTGTCTGATGGACATGTAGATGTTGCAAGGAACCCATGCATATACCAAATATTGTAAGGAATCAGGACAACTCAGATCAAAGACAAATTGGACAAAGACATCGTGGACCAACTTAAAGACAACTCCGAACAGTTTTAAACCAGTGGCTCTTCGTGGCTTTTACATTTAAAAAGATTTTTGTATGTTTTTTGTCTAGATTTGACTGACATTGTTTCACACATATAGGTTGCACTTTGTAAATACAGCTGTTTCACAAACCACATCTCGTTTGGGGAGATATATAATATTCATAGATATTTTGTTTTGTGTACCTACTGGTTCCCAGATATAATCTCTATGTTTCATCTCATAGAGACACAACTTGGGAATTTTACCAGTATTATACTATAAATACACATGGACAGCAGCCAAATTGAATTCTGAGGAAGACCCAAAGTGAATGGAGGGGTAGTACAGAATTTTAGTGTAAGTTTTAACTTTTAGAAGTTCGAGGCATATAAATGTTGAAAATATGCTGCACAGCCCTACATGTATATTTTAACCTTTGAAAAAATTGTAGTTAGTGCATATGAACTTTCCATTTCGGATACAATTTTTTACGAAACTTCATAGTAAAAGTGGCACAGTTTTAGCCGTTGAGTTCTAATGGGAAATTGCATTGTCTATATTTACTGAAGTGCAACCTGTACATGTATAACATTGAAATTAAACCAAGCATTTCAAAGTATAGACCCCCAAGAAGTTCGTTTAAATATTCATAAAACAATTAGGTTATCTTTTAAAGTGAACCTAATTTTAAATTTAATGCAAGTCAAACCATTTTTTTAAACGATGATATTTTTTCATATTTCTTTAGAAATAAAGAAGTTATACGTTATCAAATAAAATCATATTACATCATTCTTGACTTAAATCCTCTTTCCTTGTATAGATATTTGAATGAGCACGAATATCAATTGGATTCCAATCTTCATTAAAACCATGACACATCATTTATAACGAGGTATTTTTTGTATATTTCAGAATAAAGCTGATATTAAAAAATATTGCCAATGTGTTATTTACTACATATATCATGTATATATAAATAAATGGGGAATGTGTCCATGGGACACAGATAATGCCCCCGCTTGCATACGTTATAAAGGGACACAACTCAAGAACCGTACAAGTGACGCCACTAAAATTCAAACTTGATCTGTCACAGACTGTGTATTGTGGTAATAAGCATTGTGTATAAGATTCATAACATTTAGTTGAGGCAAACTAAAGTTAGAGGATGGAAACGAAACACTCAGCAATTTTTCAATTTGTAAAGGGGCATTACTCTAGAATGGTAAAATTGATGCCACTAAAATTCAAACTTGATCTGTGATTTGTGGTAATAAGCATTGCATATAAGTGTCATAACATTTGGTTGAGGCAAACTTAAGTTAGAGTGGAAATGAAAAATTTAGCAATTTTTCCATTGGTAAAGGGGCATAACTCTAGAACAGTAAAAGTGATGCCACCAAAATTCAAACCTGATCTGTGTATAGTGGTAATAAGCATTGTGTATAAGATTCATAACGTTTAGTTGTCATAAGTTGAGGCAAACTAAATTTAGAGAAAGGAAACGAAAAATTCAGCAATTTTTCCATTTGTAAAGGGGCATAACTCTAGAATGGTAAAAGTGACGCCACCAAAATTCAAATAACATTGGTAATAAGCATTGTGTATAAGTGTCATGACATTTGGTTGAGGCAAACTAAAGTTAGAGAACGGAAACCAATTTCGGGACAGATGTACAGAAGGACAAGGGTAAAACTTAATGCCCCCTCTGCTACAGCGGTGGCATAATAATCAGTGTTGATCAGCATATAATGTGAGGATTTAAAATAAAAAGCTGTCTGACATAAGTCAAATAATTTAAAAATACTAACCAAATTTATATTATGAAACAACTGTTCTTTTCAAAAATTAAGTAAATGGTGTGCTTACATGCAATTTGTATTTCTACATTGTATGTTTCTGAATTATGTACAATGAACCCCCACCCCCTCAAAATTTCTTAAGGGGTAGCTGCAAAGTCTTTTTCTATCAACATGTATACCATATTTCCAGCATTTGAGGCATTCTGTATGTGTAGTTTAAGAGGAGTTGTGGTACAAATGTACGATGGAAAATCAAACATTGAGACAGAGAACAAAAATATAAAATTTGCTTAAAACCAGCTCTGAAGGTCTTTTTTTTTAATAATAATTTACTGTTATTTGTGAAATGTCCAGTGACAAATACCTCATGCATATTCAGTTCACAGAGAAGAATTGTGTGTAAAGTGCATAATAAAACTGATGTCCAGTGGCATATATTTCTGGAATAATTATTCTGGATTCGCAAAAAGAAAAATACTGCATATATCCAAATGAAAAAAATTGTATAGCTATATACACACTCTAAGATCAATAGAAAAACTATCATTCATATTTACAAGCTCAAAATTTGTAGATATACTGAACCTGATCGACAGAGTTTAGTAATTGCATATAATTTACCCAAAATTCTATACGCATACCTGAATGTTTCTTTGTGATCTTCTAAATTGAGTCTTTTATTTTTCTTTTGACTCATCCAATATCCTACACGTTTCATATTTGTATTAACCGTGTTATTCCTTCCGTTAGCTGAGATGTTTCATTTTTTCGTCGACGGAAGTTGTGTTGTTGATCATGTGTTGATAGTAAAGTTACGATCTAATGCGCGATTGGTAAACCCATCTGGCATTTACGCATACTATTAAACAAAGGTAACTAAGTTAACAGTAACATGTTAATCTTCCCCGAGGCTTTCAGAAACCATGAATACAAAACAGAAAAAAAAAACACAATACATAAACCAGTTAATACAGGTATCTTCATTTGTAAAAGTAAAAAATAGTTGTAACATTTGACCTTTTAAAAATGTATCTAAATTATTTGTTTCCTTAATATCACACTGTCGGTTAACTAGACGCACGTAAATTTCCGGTTATTGTACGTGATGATAGAATCACTAGACTTCTTTTATTTTCATGGTTAAATCAGGATAAATAGGCTATCTTTTGAATGAATTATGTACATTTGTATAAATAATTATACCATTTTTTTTTTATTTAAAAAAAGGTCCTTCAAGGTGACCCTCTTCCTTTTTTTCAAAGTCAGATAGAAGGTTTTATGACATTCATTTACATTTTTTTTGCATTTATATGAATTGATAAATTATTTCAAACAAGAAATTACTGACCTACTAAGTTACAAAATCATTTTTAGAGGAAAGTTTATGGGTCCGAAATTGCCGCAACCTTAGGCTAAAATGAAAACTGTTGCATAAAGACAAGGCAAACACATTTCTTGTTGAAAAACCAGCACTGGTAGATGTTTCACATTTTATTTTTAACCAATTCAATTGTTTTATGCCAAATTATCAATAATTCATGTATTATAAAATACACGTGTCGTGTCAATTATCATAAGCCTAATAGCCTATATATATCATCTCATTGAGGCCTGTATATAGGGCCTAATAATCAGAATATTTAAGGGCATACAATACAGTTACAGGGGAGGTAATGACGTTGCTAACGTAAATTGTTATTTTCACGACGCCAAACTGCGACTTATCGGGTAAAGATGCAGTTTTCGACTGTTTGTTATCATTCAAACTGATTTATCTTGAAAACGAGTTCATGGACCTTCTTTTTTAAAATGACATTTGGTTTGATATTGTATGAAGATTATGTGTACCAATTTTCATGAAAATGTCAATAATGCAATTTCTTTAAATTTGATAAATATACAGCAAAAATTGACGGTTTTTTTTCTACATTCATGAACATTTGATAAATATGAGTTATTTGTAAAAAAAAAAATGCACAAATTTATAGGACATTTATATAGAAAACAGAATTTACAAATAATTTAACAAAAAACAGCTTGTGTTTATCTTTTAAAACAAAAAAGTTATGAATTTCTGTCGAAATGAAAAATACGTCCACAAATCCGAATTTTGAGCAAATATCTGAAATTTCGTCCTCAATTTACTCAAAAAGTAGCACATGAAGGTATATTTTTTATTACATATTTGATTAAATCAGGTAAAAAATAGCCTACATGCAAATTTTCATTAAAATTTCATTATGGGATCAAAACTGTATCGTATGCCCTTAAGTTACACACTTAAATTGATATGCCACTAGAAACATCTAAAATATTAAACAATTTAGCACCTGTATGTCTCCTTGATCTAGTCCACTTATCAAAAATGACAATATTCTTTCAGGGACAACAATATCTTTCATATTCCTCAGGTCAGGACTTAACGATATGGCAAAATATCCTTCACTTTGCTGCTACTACTTTATGGAACAGCCTCTAAAACAATTTCGGGACTGCACATAAATACTGGAAATCCCTGACATAATAATTTACTTGTTATACATAGGTAACGTTCATAGAAATATAAAATGTCACTACAGACACTGGCAAAGTCAAAGAGTTAAAAAATATACATGCCGTAGGAAGGCACAAAAGAACGTTTCCATCCAAAAAAAGAATAATAACAATGCATTGAAATACATTTTATTGATATGGAAAAAAGTACACAGTACAAGAAAATTGTAGGATATATGTGTCACAGATGGCTTATATTATCGAGGCTACTATCTCATCCTACTTTTCTTGATTGAGACATAACCGAATGACATTAATCACCGAATTTGATGAACGCGAGGTGTGCCATATGCGGGAGAATGATATGCCTACCTGTCTAGAGAACATACAATCATCACCGGTTTTTGTAAGGTTCGTGCAGCTCAGTCGTTTTCTATGTAGTGTTATGTAGACTTTTGGTTTTTCTCTCTCTGTTTTTGCCATGATATTGTAAATAAGATTCTAGTATTTTGGGTATTCTGGTTTTGATTGACGATGAAGCACTGTGATCGCTTGTTGCGTTTTATATAATAGACCTTGTCACGGTTCTCAAGCTAATATTAATGTTACCGACCGTGCGAGGGCTTTATAGCCAGTCAAGGTCGTTAAAAACCCCCATAAGTAATATCAGTGTTATGTACAACTTTATTCAGTGCTGATCCAAAACTAACTAAATTCAACTGACGCTTGTTACACGATTTCGAATTAAGTTTTCGGATGAGGTTTGGTAAGGTTTATCGATTTAGTGTTAACAAATGGGAAGATTAAAATATTTCCCCTGACTGGATGGTGTCACCTCAATTTCAAACGATTCCGAAATTCCTTTAAAATTATTGTGTAATAAGTATGAACATTCACACAATAATTTTAGATAAATTCAAAATTCCTTTAATTGATAAAATTTCGAACAGCTGAGCAAGAAGTTGAACGTTGAATTTCACTGTCATAGGATTGTGGTTTCAACTTTTCTTCGAGTTATGATTTTTTTATTGTTCCTTCGTTATCACATGTCTATTTCTTCAAAAAAAGCCAATTTATCATTGTGTTTTGAAGGAACTTGAGAAATAAAGGTATTCAATCTTACCTAAAGCAGGTACAACAAAAAATCAATTTTAAAACAATTTAACGTTTTCAGTCCTCACAAAAACTATTTCGGTGCTATTTTATTCCATTTGTTGAAATGACTATCAAAGATTATAAAAAAATCACTTTTATAAAGACTTTTAAGTTCAAACTTTTATTAAAGTTTAATTTTAAATAATAATATTTATGTATAACTTTAAAAATAAATGTACGAATTTATCTGTAATTGTACGTATTTCATTATGTATTGTAACTGCCAGCATGAAAATTTGTAAATTCATAATTTTACCACAAGATATAAAAGAACTTTATTTCAATATAAAAGTCACTTCAGAATTTCAGAATTCATAATAAATTAATGGACAAAAAGTGAAATTTCAAGTACTAGTATTTTCTTATATAAGTAAGAAAACATGTCTTCTAGGTTTCTGAACATTTATCATGCGCATATAGTTCATCGAATACGGTTAACAGTTACAGTAAATATGTCAAGTCAGATTTTTAAAAGATTTTACATACAACCGCGGCATGTTAAACTAGAACTAATCATCGAAAAAATAATGTGATTATCTCTTATGAAATATTATTGAATGAATTCCTTTAAAAAAGATATACATTTGTTTACAAAGCACGAAAAATCGACGAAAGACGTTCTCCAAATTGTCTTAAAATCATCAATCCTCCAAATCCAATTACATATTATTTTTTTTTTAAATTGATATATTTCTGCAAAAATATACCATTTTATTGATAAAGATTAATAACAGGGTCACCGACTTTGTTGTCTGATATATTAACAAATCTGTTATCGTGTTGGCAGTGAAAACGTCGAAAAAACGACGTCATATGGCTTTACATCGCAACGACGTTACGTTTATTTCGACGTTTTATTGGAAAATTTTTCACCAAGAACACCACTCTGTCAAATGTATATCAACCTGCATAAGCCAAAAAAAAAAAAAAAAAAAGAGAAAGAGAAAGAAAAGCAGTCGGTAAAATTATTTTACATCTATAATTAGATCTGTAATTTATCTGGTTAAAAAAAAACATTTCGATTCGAGCCTCGATTGCAGAAAGCCTCGAAAGAACGCGCAGAGTGTCTCGACTGTTTGTAGTTAGAGATTTGAATAGAAAGAATGTGAAACCACAGATCACGACGTTGCTCTAAGCGTCTCTTTCCCGCTTACCACTGATACTATTCATAGAACATGAATTCATAAATTCATCAACTACTGAAAGGCAAAGGCCGTTGATATTTTTAAGTTGACAGTGTTATGATCTTTGTGTCTGTTCGAAGTAAGAAACCACATAAAATACGTTATTTTCAAGTTATATGTCACTGACATGTTGCAGTGACATTAATTTTCAGTCTACATTTGAATTCTTCATTATAATTTGACATTCAAAATAGTTTAAATCTTAGTACATGTAGTATGTAGAGAGTTGTCAACATCTTCTATTATATCAACGTTCTATTTCTTTATATTTATTACCGTGTTTTGACCTTGCCACCCTTCTATGGATTTTCTAAGAGTTCTTATATCCGTCCGTCCGGAAGACCTCGGGTAGAAAACTTTCGTCAAAGTATTCTTGGCTTCTGTGAAAGGGAATTATTTTATATATTTGGCCTGCAGCTTGATAAAGTTAAGTTTTAGAGAGTAAGGAATTTCTACATCTGCCGTGCAGTCACTTCCTGTTTGCCGATTGTTTGAAATTAGAACACTCATTGTAGAAGGACAATTTTCGTAAAACTTTTCTTGGCTTCGAACAAGGACAATGGTTTAATATTTAGTCTGCAACACTTTATAAATTAGACTATTTACCGGATTTGTAATAACATAAGCAACACGACGGGTGCCACATGTGGAGCAGGATCAGCTTACCCTTCCGGAGCACCTGAGATCACCCCCATTTTTTGGTGGGGTTCGTGTTGCTTAGTCTTTAGTTTTCTATGTTGTGTCATCTGTACTATCGTTTGTCTGTTTATCTTTTTATTTTTGGCCATGGCGTTGTCAGTTTGTTTTCGATCTATGAGTTTGGCTGTCCCTCTGGTATCTTTCGTCCCTTTTTTACATTTGGTCTGCAGTTTAAAAAAGATCATAACACTGTACAATGATAGTTGACAGTTTTGACTTTTCAACTCTTTACACTACACTTCAACACAATCTTATTAGACAGAAGTATTTCTATTCAATTGGATGA